CTGGGGCAAGGAACAACAGACTGCGCGTAATGACCTAATTGAATGCCTAACTGACGAGCCTGTTCTCGCAGTATATGACCCGTCCTTGCCGATTGAAGTCCATACGGACGCGAGTTCCGTCGGATACGGGGCTATTTTGCTGCAAGTGCACGAGGGTGGCCACAGGCGAGTGCTCACACAAGGGGCCGAGAATAGGTATCACTCGTATGAGCTTGAAACCCTTGCAGTTGTAAAAGCATTGCAGCATTTTCGACCTTATCTTGTGGGTGTGCGTTTTACTGTCGTTACGGATTGTAATGCGTTAAGGCTCCTGCTTGCTAAGGAGACCTGCTTCCAAGGGTGGCTCGTTGGTGGGTCTACCTACAGGACTTCGATTTCGCCTTAGATTACCGTAGAGGAACTCTTATGTTCCACGCCGATTATCTGAGTCGGAACCCTGTCAGTGTGTGTACAGTTCAGAAACCTCAGAATTGGGCACAGATTGCTCAAGCTGCCGACAAGGAAACTCGGTGTCTTATACAAAAACTTAACGATGGGCAATTAGATGCCACACGGTATGTGGTCAAGAATGATGTCCTCTATGTGAAATATTCTCCTACTGGAGAACCTTCCCGTTTCCTCTGTTACATTCCCAAAGGACATCGACTCAGCCTTCTTCGTGTCTTTCACGATGAACATAATCATTTTGGGGGTTGATAAAACGGTCAATTTAATAACCAAGCACTTTTGGTTCCCTGGGCTGCAATATTTTGCACAAAAGTTTCACATTGCCTAGTGTGCATCGCTCATAAGAAAATAACGAAGGCCTCATCCCAGCCTATTAACTCTTGGGAAAAACCAAACCTCCCTTTTGAGACCATTCATATGGATTCCCTGGGTCCCTTGTCTGAAGCAGATGGGTACCGTTATGTCTTGATAGTTATCGCTGCATTCTCCAAATTCTGTCTCCTTTACCCTATGTATCGTCAAGACGTTAGCGAACTGAAGAAACATTTCACCAATCTCATTTCTCTTTTCGGGGCGCCAAAACTAATAGTGGCTGACAGAGGGCGTATGTTCCAAAATGCAGAATTTCTTAACTGGGTTGAAACTATGGGCTGTAATACTCACTTTATAACGCCCGAGATGCACCGATCAAATGGCCAAGTGGAGCGTTATTGCAGAACGGTGTTAAATATGGTCCGTGTTGAAACCAATTATAGACAAAATTCATGGCCAAGTGTAATGTGGAAAGTTCAATTGGTGTTGAACATCACGAAACACCGAACCACGCAATACTCTGCCCTTAACTTACTGATTGGAATTGAGGCAGCCACGCCCCTCATAAGAAGCTTGGTACGCGATGTGGCTCTTGAGGGCAGCAATCCTAATAGAGAAACCCTGCGTGAAATAAAAAGTAGGCAGAAAGCATCTGAAAGACTTCAGCGGAACCAGCACGAACAAGATGCTTATGTAAATCGGGGGAGGCAGCCTCCCCGGTATTTTAAACTAAACAGTTTGGTCTTTGTGAGTAAGCAGGCGCAAGCAGCTGGGAAGTTGGACTCGTGTATGCGTGGCTCCTATCGCGTCGTAAAGACGCTACTACAAGGGCGCTACGAATTTCGACTCCTGACCGGCTCCTACGGGAAGTCGACTCAAGCGGCGGCGGAATACATGATACCTTGGCATGGAGAGTGGACTCCTGATGCATGTGCTGCTTACTTCAGTGGTGAGTGCTTTGGGCCCTTGTTTGTTATGTATGAAGCTTCATATGTGCTATTCTTGTGTGTGGTCGGGACAAGCTTCACGTCGTGCCTCTATCCTGACCTGATATTAAGTTATGCTTCACGTCGTGCCTCTTTCTTAGCTGAGATCATCTGCACACCAAATTATTGGAGATACGCTTCATGTAGTGCCTCTTTCTCGGTAATTTGGTGCGCGCTATTTATTTTAACGAAATGTTAATAAAAGCTAAGATAAGCTTCACGTAGTGCCTCTTTCTTATCTGCAATTATCTGCACACTAAATTGTTGGAAATACGCTTCACGTCGTGCCTCTTTCTCAGTAATTTAGTGCGCGCTATTTATTTTGGATTTTAGTTGTGAGTCACGTAGACTCAGGTGGTATTTGTTGAATGTTTTGTGCAGATTCAGACCACGAAAACGAGGAGTTAACTCTCGCCTCTGCTGGGGTTCTCTCGCCAGCCAGCCAGCCTGCCTCCGAGCCACAGCCTAGTACATCTGGGGTGCAGCAGCCGAGGAGTGCTGCTGTTGATGCATCAGAGCTTCACGTCAAGCCTGTGACGTCACCGCCTCACGTCGAGCCAAAGACGTCATCACTTTACGTCGAGCCTGAGATGTTGCCGCCCCACGTTCCTATGCCAGCAGGACCAGGACTTTCCACGCCTCTGCTGGAATGAATAAAGGATTAAAGGAGCCCGGGACGGTCTCCTGTCAGGAGAGGCCGTATTGGAGGAGAATATATGAAGACAAATCTGCCCCTATAAAAGGCAGCGTCACCCAGCAACATGCCCATTTAGGCCCGCGAGCCGTCGACGCGTACACATCGTGTTGATAGTGATTGATTGCGTGACCGACATTTTTCATTTTATTTTTAAATTTGCATTTAATTATTAGAAAATAGCCTCTGCCCAGTTTTGTTTTGAAATTATTTGATTAAAAGTTTGTTTGGGATAACTGTTTTTTTTTTTTAATTAAATCGTTATTTCATTTACAAAAATATTTTAGTGTTATTTATTGTATACCGTTATAAGGTTGTATTTATAATCGATCCTCCTTAATTCTTTATCCAGTAGCGGCTAGTCCTTAATTTATGGCCAGCTGGCGTATTATTTATGAGGAAAAGAAAGAAAGTAAGTTACAATAATCACTATGCAAAGAAATCCTAAACAGAATATGTTTTCGTAAACAGGGGGGAATGAACATAAACAATTCCACAAGTGCTGAATCAATGTAAAATGACACCTTGTAAATGCAAACAGTATATGCAAAAAACGACCCTAAAGCATGAATAACTATAGGGAAAATCCTTAGAGATACACTCCATTTGTTATCTTTTTCTGACTTGTATAGATTGTAATTATTCCGCCTACTCTCTCGCTCCTGAGTGACATGTCAATGTAATGTTTCAGATCCAAATGATTCATTTGAAACATTATTACTGAACCAATCTTTTGTATCACTTCAGTGATTCGGATCAGTGAGTCGGTTCCGTAAAGAGTTACACATGCCTATTTATTATATATAATAAATACACATGCCTAGTCGCAGGATGGGACTAATTTTCTTATGGAGCCACCACATGGTACATTTAATCTAATCTCTTTTTCTTTTAAAGCCAATTTGTTAATAAGCACACTAAAAACTATTATGCTTACTAGTTTATTATTAGGTTCATTTATTTTTGGCACCCATTACATTATTTTCACACATCCCAGGTTGACTGGGATTGAATGCCATAGGGTATTAATAATCTAATCCGCTCTTTATAATCATTCTTATTAAGGTGTTGTACAATAAAATATAAATAAATAAATAAAAATGTGTAAAACTGCCTTGTGCTTTGCACTTTATGATAGTGGACTAAATATAATTACACTTTCCTTATTCCTTTCCTAAAAGCTAAGCAAGTTAGGAACAACCTTACTAACTGGCTAATCCTCACTGTCTTTAAATCTTATTGGCTGATTTCATAATATACAAATTTTGCACCTGCACAAAATTCAAAAACTTTATTAGACTAAGTTTGTATTATAAATAGAGTTTTTATAATATTAAGGAATTTATGGATAATAATAACCCCTGGGAAAAGTGATCTCTCTCTACCAAGCTATTTCTAATTGACAATTGATAATACATTGTAAGCTGTTTTTTTTTATTTAAAGTTTTACTCGGTTTCTTGCTGGTTCTTCCCAAAACAGAGGCCTTTTTTATGAACAAGTGATAAATAGAAAAAAAGAGTAACCCACTTACCACTTTTTTATTCAGTATTGTTTATAATATTAAATTAAAAAAAATCTGTATCAGTTTCAAAAAAGACCTATAAATAGTTTTTTGTGTGAGTGTTATGAGATATCTCGACCAATTGTGTATTGATTTCGATTATTCTTTTTTTATTAAATGCACCTATTAAGTACACAAACTACAGGGCTAGTCCCATACAAATTTGGTGGAAAAATTTCACTTCTAAGGGTGGAAAATAGGTTTTGAATTTATTAATGTAACTATTAGAGGACACACTATTTGCTACCTAGAGCTTGTGGCATTTTTTAGATCACTCAAAAGGGTCAAATAAATAAGCCTTTAGGTCTAAGCAGCAACTTCCTTTTACTCATCTTCTTTTTAGTTCTTTTATATCAGCATTACTTCTTGATAAGAGTTTAATTTTTACACAATACTTTTTCTTTTCTGAATCATAATTGGGTTCCTAAATTGAATACAGAGTAAAACACATTATAAGAAGGCAGGAGAACCTCTGAGACTGGGCAATAAGGATCCAAACTATCCTCAGTCTTATTACACTTTAATTTCCTTTCCGTAATTCCTTATTAGGTTCTTAAAGACAGGGATTGTATAGCACATAGCAGTTATATCAAACTTATCTATTTAAAATGAAGTTTTTCCCAGTTGATCATATTCTACCACTGTTATATATTCATACTCACATTGCTAATTGATTTCAAATAAGAGGAATGTTGTATTTGGGGTGTTATAAAAACTAATTAATAACCGTAAGCGGGAAAAACCTAACTATTCTGACTAAATCTCTTCACAAGTCTTTCCGATAATGCAGGTTTAAAGGCAAATAAAAATATGATTGCACAGAAAGTTCATTCATGTAATACTTCACTTTTTAAAATTATACTTTTTTAAAATGGTTACGTACACAGTTTGTGTATGATAAAGTCTATTTTACTAAAAGTGAAAGTACATAATATTCAACTATGACAAATATGAACGAAGAATCATTTTTTAAAACACTTATCACAAAACAATACTTACTATTAGCGGATACACAACAAATGCTTATAATTCAGAAGTTTTGAAACACTAATTCACTTAATTTTATTTGCGAATTTGGTATTACGATTATCACCACAAACTAACTACACATATACACTTGACATGCTTGACATACACAATCAGTATTATAGTTGTTGTTACTTCGCCAATTTAGCTAAGCAAAGGTCTTAGAACATACAGCCTAGCCTAATGTGCATTAAGTTCACAAAAAATTTCAGAATATTATGCTGATGTATTGAATTGTGAAGAGATTTGGAAGACAGCTTAACACAACTAATGATGGAAATATATCAAGGTTTCTAAGTGATTATGAATCCTAGACAATTATATCATTATATTCAATTACAATTTGGTTAAACGTCAAAAGATATTTTTTAGATTTAATCTACAACGGATTCTACTAGGATAGGCAGCGTTCGGGAACTACGACACATCTTTTCGTCAGGCGTACCTCAAAACTTTAAAACAAGATTGTACAACGAGTGTATTTTACCACCCACCCATGGAACTGAGATGTGGTCGTCACTGCTGGCCATATGAGGAAACTTAAGGTCGCTCAGCAGACTATGGACAAGGTTATGCGCGGGGTTTCTCTGCATGATAGACTTAAAAACTAAGATATCTGCATTAGAACCAGAGTAACCGACACGGACTAGTAAGCTGAAGTGGCAGTGGGCCGGCCATATAGCTCGAAAAACCGAAAACCAATGAGGAAGAAAGGTTATCGAGTGAGAGCGTCGTACCAGCAGGTGAAATTTAGGATGCCCGCCCACTTGATGGAGTACCGACCTGGTAAGATATGTAGGAAGTCGATGGATGCAGGTGGCTCAGGACCGTGCTTTATGGCATTCCTTGGGGGAGGCCTAGACTATGTTCACCAGTGGACTTGAGAAGGACTGTAATGATGATCATCATAATGATGATGATGAAAGAGACATTTATTTTGAATGCATTATAGAAAATGCAATAATAATTTATGTAAATAACTATAGTGACAACGACAACTCAACTAGTTGTAGTGAAAGTGATTAAATAAATTTGATTCTATACGAGTGCACTCTTTAATTTATAACACTTTATCTCTTGAAATTATCAATAAGAAATAAATATGAAAAATGTGATTGAGTTATATATTTCAATGTAATTTATTAATCTAGATAAAACTATAAATGATTACCAACTCTAAAAAATCGATATCTCTTAAGAATCGAATGGGTTGCTATGGTGGTTCGGCGTGAGTTGTATACGTAATACCGTACCACCAAACCCAATCGTAGTATTCAAGTACTCGTACGTTAATATTATAAATAACAGAATACTAATACAGGATAGGATAAAGAATTACGTGACTCCGATTGAAGTTATGTTATTCAACGTAAAAACAACTTTTACTGGCAAATAATTTTACAGAGTGACATTAACTTCGCGTACAAGGTAAGTTAACTGAGGTGAGTAACCCATGCATCTTGTTCCTATGCCAGCTGCAGGCGGAATTATCAGCGATCGGGGTCGCGCACTGACGAAGACGCGGGGTGTTGTCCATCGAGTTCGCGCTATTGTTTTCATGCGGTGGTGTGATGTTCTATCGTGGCTCAATCCTCATACGCGTAGCGGATTTATGTGGGGTCCAAGGGAAGCGAGTTACGCCAGATATTCCCCCTGGCCAGACCCTAATTACGGTCAATAGTAGTCGATAAATCTGACTCTTTGGCCACTCCGCGTGATTTTCTCTTTGTTGACAATAAATAGGTTCCGTAGGGACTTTGGGTTCCGAGTCTTCGATTTCTTCGGCTATGTACGCTGGTTTTAGTCTGTCAACAGCGACGTTATTTTTCTTTTCCCTTATGTCTATAGTGAAGTACTTGGCTTGTCTGTCTAGTACTTTGATGGGTCGTCTTAGGGTGGTTCGAGTGAGCCTCGAACGTGATCTCGGCGAAGAAAAACATAAGATGATGTGTGGAGGTCCCGTGGTATGTAGAATGGCGTTGTAGTGCTGGTGTGCCATGATGTCTGCTTGGGAGTGAGTTTAGCCATGCAGGATCATAGACGTGTTACGTACTCTGTGACGTCTGCCATGGTGTAGTCGTCTATTGGCGATAGATATTGGCCTGGCAAGCTGAGAGTTTGACCATATACCACTTCAGCAGGCGTAGCTTGGAGATACTCTTTCCATGAGTTGCGCATGCCCAAGAGAACCAGTGGAAGGGCTTCCGTCTACTGCGATGATGTGTGGCACATGATCGCCGCCTTGAGTTGGCGATGAAGTCGCTCGATGATACCATTCGCAGATGAGTGATAGGCGGTTGTGCGTAAGTGACGCGCACCAACCAACTTGGTGAGAGCTTTGAAGAGATGGTTCTCGAATTGGAGACCACGGTCTGTAGCCACCAGTGCAGGACAGCCGAATCGGGCTATCCAGCCGGACACCAGAGTAGCTGCGCAGGTCTCCGCCGTGATGTCCACCATGGGGTATGCCTCAGGCCATCGCGTGAAACGGTCGATGACGGTAAGGCAATATCTGTAACCAGAGGACAGAATTAGGGGGAATGTCGAGGTGGATATGGGAAAACCACGACGAGGGAGTGAGGAAAGATGAAAGTGGGGATATGGTATGACGGTTGATTTTGCTCTTTTGGCATGACAAGCATTGTCGAGACCACTCTCTACAATCTTTACGTATCCCTGGCCATACGTATCTTTGTGAGACAAATCGCACAGTAGCTGAACTTCCAGGATGGTGTAAGCTGTGTACTGTATCAAAAACTTGTTTCCTGAACTGGGGAGTCACGTAAGGACGTGGCGGTTGCACAGAAGTGTCGCAGTAGAGAGGTAAGTTACCATTTATTTATTTGTTTTATTCTTTATTTCACCGAAGATTTTGTACAAAAGGCGAGCTTAATGCTATATGGCATACTCTACCAGCTAACCTTGGGTAGAACAGAGAGTGAGTTATGGGCAGTAAAGTTGTAATGATCACATTCAATTCAAATATTATGTACATGCTACACATACATAAAATATATATACATATATACACATATATATTTGGCATTAATCATATTTATACATATATATCTCAATAAATGTATATACAAATAAACTATAATCATATAAAGTAAGTGGACTCAGTTGGTTACGGATATGTTCGTATAGTTTTCTTTTAAAAACGTTTTTGACGGATATTATTCGCAGGTCAACAGGCAACTTGTTCCAGAGGGAGATGAAAGTTACTGTGAAAGAATTTGACATAAACCCAGAATGGTGGAGAGGAGTAGACAGTAATAAATTGTGTGAAGATCGGAGATTGAGAGAATGAGTGTCACTATTGAATAGGAATCTTTCTTTTAGATAAAGGGGTGAGGAAGAATGATTAAGAACTGAAAATAGAGTGGACAGCATTCGAAAATCTCTGCGCTGGCGTATAGTCAATCACTTCAACTGGGAGCGAAATTCTGATACGTGATCATATTTGCGCAGGCCAAAGATGAATCGTTTGCAGTTGTTAAGTAACCTTTCCAACCTGCTGAGCAGCTCCTGAGACATTAGAGAGACAAACATCGGCATAGTCAAATAATGCAAGAATTAGAGATTAGATGAGTAGAAGCTTAGTTGAAGGGGGCAGAAAGAACTTAAGACGATAGATGGAACGAAGTACGCCTGTGACCTTACGACAAATCTCTGACAAATGTAAACTCCAACTATGGGTCGGGTCAATAGTTAAACCCATATCCTTGACACTAGTATAGAAATGAATAAGACAATTTTCGTAGCGAATGGAAGGTAGATCAGGTATGTTAAGTTGTGACACCAATCGACGACTACCAATGATGATAGCCTGGCATTTACTGTACTTTACCGTTACACCAAAGCGCTGTGAACAGTCTGAAACGCGTTGTAAGTCCTGATTAATAGCTGCAGTAGCGGTAGCAATTTCAACCGAGGATGCTTGTGAGTATAACTGAAGATCGTCAGCATAGATGTGGTAAGAACATTGAAGGTGGGTAGTAAGAAGATTGATAAACAACGAAAACAAGAAAGGAGAAAGAATGCCGCCTTGTGGTACACCTAGAGACAGATCGCACCAGTAGAAAAAAAAGTATCGATACCGATAAAGGTATCGGAACAAAAGTATCGATACTATTTGGTACTCAACACCTTTCTAATATTAGAAATCACAAGTAAATACAATCCAATCCAATTTTAAATTCATCATCATTATTATTACAGCTCTTCACAAGTCCGCTGCTGAGTTTAGGCCTTCCCTAAGTTCCAGAACTCCAGACTCAAGTTTTGAAATATTTATAAAAACATTGCAATTGTTATTACATAGAATTACTGTACGTTTAAAATATATGACTGAAACAGTAATAATAGCCGGTGACTTTGATATCAATTTACTTGAAAATAATCTTAAATGTTAACTTTTAAATATACTGTATTAAAATATATCTTAAAATCAACAATAAATGAACCACCTAGGATAACAATAAAATCGAAAATTTGCATAGCCAACATTATAACAAATATTAAAGGTTAGAGCTCAACATTTTTATAATTAGGGTTATCTGATCACTCACAACCATTTTTTGTACATAATATAACATTGGTACCAACGTACCAATATTATATTGAAAAGTATTGGTATGTACATAGAATAAATTAAAATAAGTATTTAAATATCTTTCTAAACTATCTCTCACTTAAGTTTTTCTGAAGTTTTCTCGTATTATAATGCCAATCAGGCGTATAATAGTTTCATTAGCTTATTCAAATTAATATACGATCTTTATATAAAAGGGTTAGTATCTCATTGAAAAAAAAATCAAACTAACAGACAGTTAACATTAAAAGGGCATGCAAAACTAAAAGAAAGTTACATCAGAAAATACTAAAATATAAGAAACATGACTAAAATATAAGAAAAACTAATTAATACCATATTATAAGAAATACTGCAAAATTTAAAAATCCGTAAATCGTTTAGGAAAACAAAAATCAAATATAAAATAATTAAAAATAGTAACAACAAAAATAAAGCTTCAAGGCACTTAATAAAAAGCAGACCACTTCACAAAACATATTCGAAATACCTAACCAGCCAGTC